AAAAAAAAAGAAGTCCTATACCTAAAACAAGTTTGTAATTCATGTAACGATATAAATTTAAATCCTGACATTCACATTTCAGAGTCCTCAGAAAAGGAGGCTTCATGTACCTAAGTGCAAGGAATAAAATCAGAACCTGGGTCTGGAGCGTATCAGTAAAAGATAGCAATTCTCAACTGTTATAGATCTACATCTTACCTGTGAATTTGCAGGAAAAAAAAAGAGTTGTTTCCCAACCTCCCTCGGGATTCTTCGAATTTATATCCTGATCACCTGTCTTATTACAGATACATACACAAGCCTTCCTCCCCACTCTTTACAAATACATTTACTCCTACCTCCATTTTTCAGGTCAAAAACTGACAGAAAGAAGACAACTCAAATGTTCAGGCACATCTAATACACGTCTGTGATGCACTGCAGCCATCTAAGGAATGAATATTTCTGAGTTTACTCTGTGCCTGATGTGGGAATTACAAAGAAACCATGAGCAAGTCCTCAAGGGACTCAGACTTCAACATCAGCTGCCAATGATACATCCTGACCTGTACTCAAAATCAATTCCAACGCAAAGAACAGTACAGTGTAGGGGGAAAGACCACGGACGAAGCATAACCTCTTTACTGTTCCCCTAGACTGCAGCATCCCAGCTGATCTGCCTGCTATCAAAGCCCTCTTCTCTTCAATCTGTCCTGCATTCAACTGCCAGATTCATTTCTAGAATTCAAGGACTCTCTCTCCTGCTCAAGAAGCTTCAAACACTCCTCGTTACTTCTAACATCTAGCTCAAACTCTTCTTCGACTTATGAAGTCTTCTATAGGTTAGCTCCACTCACCTGTTCAACTTTACTTCGTGCCCAATATGGCTCCCTCTGCCAATCCCTTTCAGAGGGGTAAGTCGCAAACCTACTTCCACTACCACCTATTCGAACACCTCAAGGAGCCTTCATTCTCAGCAGTCTTAAAAAATCGTTTCCTCTAATGTCGGTACAGATCCATTAGTTCTCTGAACATCCCTTCGGAACTCGCCATTAGGTTTCTTAACAAATGGCAGGTATGTCCCAAGGTATTTTTCACATTATCACCCCAACCAGAGGTTCATCTTTCCAGCCACCCCTCGGTGAAATCAGAGGGAGTCCCTTGTAGTCTGGGCATGGGAGTTCCAACACTGCACCCTGGAAGAGAGGGAGAGGTTTGGGGCGGTTGCAAAGTAGGGAGGGGAAAAAATGAAGGAAGCATAAAAGGGAAGGAAGGTCCGTGCTCTGTACTGCATTTTCAGTCTTGTCTTTGGAAGGAGCAGGGAGAGCGTAGGGGGCGAGGAGACTCCAAAAAATGAATTCTTGAGGAAGAACAGAAGAAACTCAAGGTGTTCCCTAGGTAGGAATACCAGCTGGGGACCCTGGATAACGGAAGGGTTCCCCATTACCCCTGGGAGAGGACAGGTTACAGCCTGCAACAAAGAGGAGGTGAGGGGTGGGGAGCCTACAGAGATCCGGGCAACTCCGAAGGTCGAGCGGCAAGGAAATGAGAGGTGACACGACGCGTCCCTCGGGGGACTGGCCGGACACAGGGATGTGGCTGCCAAGAGGGACGAGGTAGGCGCCTAAGGCGGCTCTGGGGCGAGCGTTTATGGGGCATCGCTTCCACGGGGCGCGGGGGCGGGGAAGTGTTTTTGAGTAGGGTCTTCTCCCACTGGGAGAAACGGTTCCCGGGGCAGTGCTCTCCGAGAACAGAAGCCCCGGAGACGCGAAAACGTTAAAGCGTTGAAGAACCGGCATTTCCTAGCCCCAGCCTGGCTTCCCAAGCACTCACCGAGTCTCCTCCAAACGCCACCGCTCCAGCTGCAGCTACCGGCCGGCGCAGCCGCACTCAGCGCGCACCGCCCCACGTGACTCGGCCCAGACCCCGCCCCCATTCCCCCACATGATCCTCAGGACCCGCCCATTCCCCCCTCCCTCTAGCCCCTCTTCCGCACGTGGTCTAGACTCGCCCCTCCCTTTTTGACAAGATGGCGGCACCCAGCTGTAACGCGCCGGGCCAGTGGGTCCGGGGTTCCAAGCAGCGTTTGGGGAGTCTCTTTAGTCTCGTCTCAAAGCCATTTTGTTCGGTTGCTGCTGCGTCTGGGACCGTGAGTGCCCAGCGATTAGCGGAGAAGCTCCGAGCCCAGAAACAGGAACAAAAGACGAAGAAACAGCCGGTGAGTCCGAAAGGACCACAACTCCCAAGAGGCAGTGCGTTCACCGATTCCCCGGCTGGGCGTGAGGTGGGAGGGTCCTCTGACGGATGTTAAGTAAATGTGGAGGACCTGTGGAAGAATGGGGAGAAAGGGAAGGGAAGAGGTCAGGACGGTACCATATCTTCCTGCGGGCTGGGTCTTTGGCTCCTGCCGGCCTCGGCCCTGAGCACTGCGTGGAGACAGGTAAGACAGACATGCACTGCCGCTCTCAAATTATTCGGGGAAGGCGCGAGTTCAATGCAGAGATAGTCGTTCCCAACCCAAATTCTCACCCAGACTTACTGAAGGTCTTCACCAGTCATTTCCTGTTGCTGCTCTCCCGGTAGGTGCCCACAAGCCCTGTTCAGCGGAGAGTGCAAGAACTAGTGCGGTTCACACAGCAGCTGCAGCGAGTCCACCCCAACGTGCTTGCTAAGGCTCTGAGCCGAGGGATCGTGCACCAGGATAAGGATCTCGTGGTCATCAATAAACCTTACGGTCTCCCTGTGCATGGTAAAGACCATGTGGGAGAGGGAGGGGTGCTGCTTCTGTTTTCACTACAATTAGGGATAACTTTGACACATTACTTGTGAGGCTCCTTAAAGACTTGCATTCAAAATAATTTTTTATGGAGTACTATATAAGGCACTATAGTCCTGTATAAGGCACTACTGAGGACACAGATATAAAAGACAGTCTCTGCATTCCAAACATTTGGCGGTCAGCAGTGATTTACGGAATGCACTGTGTCCAGAGCTCCACGGGAATTTTTATAGAGAAATACTAAGGCTCTGTGGTTCTTGTCTTCATATTATTTTACATCAAAACTGGGAAAGAAGAGGGGTGCCTGGGTGGCTTAGTGGGTTAAGCATCTGCCAGCCCTGTGTCAGGCTCCCTGCTCAGCAGGGAGTCTGCTTCTCCCTCTCCCTCTGCCCCTCCCCCCTGCCCCTGATATATCTCTCTCTCTCTCAAATAAATAAATAAAATCTTCAAAAAAAAAAAAAAACTGGGAAAGAAGAAATGACATATAAGAAAAAAATATATAGGACTTAATATATTAAGGTTCTGACCATTTCCCCTTCCAACAATGACACCACCATATTTTTGCCTTTATTCACAATTTTCCCACTTTCACTAATTTTCATAAATACTCTATTTTCGGCCTATGAATCTCTTGTGGATAATGTGTTCTGGTAGTTTATTACCTTCTATAAGTAATGGTATTTCCATATAATGGCTCTGAATTTGCTTCACATGTCTTTTTTTAACCATGGTGATTTATTGCACGTTTTTGTTCACATGATCCAGAGTACAGTTTCATCAGTTAAGTCCAGACCAAGGAAAATAGTCCATCTTCTTTGAACAAAGATCAGAAAATCTCAACCCACAAGCCCAAAACTGCAGCATAAATCAGTCAGCCACCTCAGGCCTTGAGTGGAGACAGAATAACCTGAGAAAAATCAGATCTTATACTTTGCATGGGCAAGGATCAAATAAGGACACCTAAACATGCAGAAACTCCAATCACAGAAACCAATATGAAAACTGATAAAAAAAAAAAAAAATGGAGTTCCAGCCAAAGCAAAAATTAAACTGCCCTGTAGAGAGGCCTCCACTACTGAAAATGTACACAGGATCCACATACACACACACAAACACATATCAACCTGGGGGTGCCTGGGTGGCTCAGTCGGTTAAGCATCTGTCTTTAGTTCAGGTCACAATCCCGGGGTTCTGGGATCGAGCCCCGTTGTCAGGCTC